CTCCTTCTAAGTGCGTCTCCAACCTCCGTCCCCATCATCCCACAGTCACACCATTTTCCGACTCTGCTACTCCTAATTTCTCCTTATACATTTGTAAATATACTGTGCCTGCTTGGAAAATCTAGTCAACTCAGGATCCTCAACAAAATCACACCTGCACAGTGCCGTTGCTGTGTGAGGTAATACACTCCCAGGGTGTGGGGATGGGGATGTGGAACTCCTTGGAGGGCCATTATCCATCCCACCACACAGGTTTTCTGCCAGACACAGATGCCGACCTTTCAGGGTCAGCCATCACCTAAGCACTGTCACAAAGCAGTAGTGCCAACAGATGCCAAGTGGAGAGGGTATGGGGTACAGGCATCTCCCCACTCTGTCACACCTTAGGAACACATGCGGCAGAATCCCCATGAGCTCATGTCTTTGGCTGCTTCTCTCAGCTAAGAGGTCTGATGCCATCATATTTCGTCATACTCTCTTCACTGTCCACTGTGCCTTGTCTCCCAAGTGGACAGTGGTCAGAGAGTCCACTCACATCTGTGTGGGTCTAGGTACTGTCAACCTCTCAGGATCAACATGTTCAAGTCTTAGCTCATGCCAGTGTCCTTTAGATATATCATTATTTAGAGAATTCACCAGTCCACCTTAACTCATTCCTGCAAAAATTGCCACTAAATGAAAAGCTGAACAGTCCCATTAAATTTAATGGAAAAAGTAGGAAGCATTCCATCCCAACTTAAGGTACTGAGAGCCCATACTCACATCCTCCTTCATGACATTCATGCCAACGACCTCTCACCCCATTCAACAGACTTTGGTGGGCTAGAATTTGGATGCACGAAGGAAGCCACTGTAGGGGTGGATGACACTACCAGATAATGCTTGTAACTACTGAACGAGTACATTCAATCCTGGTTTCAAAACACCTCTTTTCACAGAATTACTTGATCAGAATCATGCCTATCAAAGGTGTAATCATTTTGGTGGGCTTGCCACGTTTGAAAGGAGCATCTACCCAGCACAATTGTAATGCAGATGTGGCATGCAATCAAATCTGAACACTCAATTCAAATGTCACTTCTTATACTTATGTAATAAGGGTTGGGGTAGAAAGTAGACATATGAAGACAAAAAGGAGTTGTTGGAAAAATGGTAGAACTTTTAAAAATCACAACTGACTGTTCATATGTGAAGAAAGCCTTTATTTGTTAAACACTTATGCTTGCTTATGTCAATTTGCTACATGAAGAAGTCTAGCTTTTTAAAGTACTTTTTTTATGCCCAGCTGAGGGATATCAAAACAAAGGAGGCAAAATCCCATAATGAGGCGGTTCACTATTTAGTGGGAGAAATCGGGAAGTAGCAAAACCATACAGAAGCAAATCAAAACATTAACAGGGCCCACAGAGAATACTGCTGAGCAATTTCTATTTGTCAGTCAATATACTGATTTTAAATATTGTGCAGTGAACCTACATAACTTTTATGCATTGACGCATTTGTAATTTATTTATCCTTATGCTACTTAACTGGTACACATTAACTACAAGATACAGTTAAGCCACTAGGCACACCCAGCACACATCTCAAGTTAAAAGCTGTCTCTTAGATCTCAGAACTGGCTTTGGATAACGGTAAGTAACAGCTGTAACTTACAGCTCTTATGTTATGGCCTCTCAACCTGGGCCTTAGCGTTCTAACACCCCTCCCCCTACTTATTTTTTTGAGAACTGGGGTATGAACTCAGGGTTCTGAGCATTTAGGGAAGTGCTTCATTGCTTGAGCCATGTCCTCAATCCTTTTTGCTTTGGTTACGTTTGAGATGGGGACCGGGCAGGCCTGAACCACGGGCACGATCCTCCTACTTATGATTCCTGTGTAGCTGGGATGACAGTCATACGCCCCTTTCCCCGGCTTCTTTGGTTGTGATAGGGTCTGGCTAACTTTTTACCTGGGCTGAGCTTGAAACTGGATCCTTCCTTGCTCTGACTCCAGAGTAGTTGGGATTACAGATGTAAGCCACCATTCCTGGTCACTATTGTCATCTTTAGGCTTTCCTGACGGTGAGATAATTCAAAGTGACCATGAGTTCTCTTAAACTCCTTAGTAGCCCTAAAGGAATTACAGAACTTTTGCATGAGAAAGGGCTAAGCACTTTAAGGAACTGGGAAGATGGAAGCCTGGATAGTGATATGAGCTTGGCAGTAATGTGAACTATATTGACACCATGACTTTGGGCTCAACTCTTTCATGAGCTTCTCTTAATAAGTAATCAAGTTGGGCTTAAAACCACTGTGATGTATTCTGATGCCTAGCCACAACCCAACCTGGAATCCAAATTAATGCAATAACCAAAATGTAATAGCATCTTCCTGTATTCTTCATATCTGTCTCAAACTCTGCTGCCAAGGTCAGGGACTTTGAGCCTAATTCCCTTCCAACATGACTCTTCTGGTTTTCTGAGCATGTCAGCTACTTTGGGAGTGGCTACCTCTTTTTAATAGCTCAGGGCTCAGCAGTTTATACTGAGCTGTTCAGTTCGTATTTTCTATGCACAGATCACTTTGGCCTGTGGCTTAAAAAGTGAGCCCTGGCTTATTAGTCTGCATCTCTTTCCAGCCTAGACTTGCTTCTAGGCATAGTTTCTTCTCTTAGTCAAAGTTGGGAATGAAACACCCAAAAGTCTAACTCATGCTGCCTTTTTCTCCTCTGCGCTTTTCCCTCACTTCCACAGGGTGTTTAATCCCTCTCTGTCCCTGTACCACTGAGCACCTCACTGAGGCCCAAGTCCTCTTTCCCCATCTTGTATATCAACATTCTCCTCCATGTTAAGGGTGGTAAGAGGGGTCCTGCAAAAATTCCTCCTTGGAAGACTGTACAGCTTCATTACTCAGGGGCAAGTTGTAAAGTAAACCACCTCAACAGCAACAACAAAACCTGTGGCTAAATCCCAGCTCTTCCAATTTGAACTGCAGCTGTGTGATCTTGGACAAAAACTTAAATGTTGCCATTTATAAAATATATATGAAAATAGCCCAATTTACAAAGCAGTCATTGAAATAAGACAGGTAAAGCCCTTGAGAAGGTACCTGGAGTGTGGAGGGGTCAAGAGCAGACACCTCAGTGTCTTTTCTTTACCACTTCCCCAAATGCCACACTAAACAGTCATTTTTGGGACATTTACGCTGAAACTCAATGTGAAACTCAGTTGCTCCAAAGTATGTTGGGATTGATAATTGGATTCTGATATTTATAGTATCATATTAGTACCATTGTGTAGTTTTAATATTATTGGAAGAATTTTTTGTTATTTTTGCTTAATTTCCTTAATTTTACTGTGTGTCAGACAGAGCAGTATTTAAACAAGCATTCTTTCCATAATCTTTCCTAAAAGTCCTCCCAAATTATTTCCTTATTTCTAATATAATATTTGAACCTTCTCTCTGAGCATAAATACCAGTTTTGTTTCTAATAAAACATGATGCTAAAAAACCTGCTTAGGTGTCAAGAACACATGAACAGTATTTGTCACTTATTTTATTTAAGATGGATGGCCAAATTGATTTTTCTTTCTTTTTTATTTTTAATCTTGAAAATCTCACATGGTTCAAATTCCCTGATTCAATCAATTTTTTTTTCTTAGCTTTTTGACAGTAATGAAGTCATCTTATTTCTAGTTAGCATTTATTTCTTTTTTCATTCCTTCTTGGGTTACAAAATAAAACTCTGGAAAGGAATAACCAATTAGTCTCATGTCTGGCCGTTTTTCCTGTACTAGCATGTTCTAGAGAGACCACCTATTGCAAACCTCAGAGTTTCAGAGGAACATGAATGGCCTTCAGTATTTTGAGCAATGGGAATTGAAAGAATATAGAATATCTAGCATCTCAAACGATTTTTTGGAAAAAGAAAATGTGGCAAAAGTATTTCATGCTAAAAACCAGCATTGATTGTTTAAAAATCGCTAAAAAACTATGTGTGGTATGCTGATGAGAACATTATTTATTGTTGTTTTGCTTTTCTTTTTGGCAGTACTAGGGTTTGAACTCAGGGTTTATGCTCACAAAGCAGACACTCTACTGCTTAAGCCATGCCTGCAGTCCCCTAGATTTACTTTTTAATGATGATGTATATGAATAACTCAAAACCTCATTTCAAGATTATTGGTCAATTTATGTTATTTTTTGTGTTTCTTTGTTTCTTTGTTTCTGTTGTTTTGCAGTGCAGTGGATCAAACCCAGGGTCTTGCATATGTTAAGCAAGCATTCTGCCATTGAGCCATGTTCCCAGCCCTCTGTGTTTTTTCTACTGACATTAACTTTGTTACAAAATGAGACCATTTAAGTTGGTGTTTGTTGACTGGCTGACATTAAAAGTCACCTGCTCTACGATTTAATCAAATATAAACAGAAATCCTTTTTCTGGGTCTAGTGACCTAGTCTAGAAAAATCTGTTTTTTCAAACATTAAGTGCCCTTAATGTTGATCATGAGTGCACACTGCCTGGGGTTCATGGTTTCCTTAACTCCTTGTTTCCTGAAATCATTGTTTGTCTCACTTTTCTTTGTTACTGTTTTTCCCTGTCACCTTGTGCAGAGAAGGTGAGAGCTAACTCTATTGAGAGCTTTTGTTGCCATGGTGAAGAAAATAGTACAATTTCACAGTTAATAAAGAGTATCAGGGTGGGGAAGGTATTTCTTCCGAGCTCACATGATTTTCATTTCATTACAGTGGAACTAAGGCCCATTGACAGGCCCTCTGAAGCAAAATCTTCTGTTAGATATAGTTTATAGCATCATGCTATTCACTCAGAATATAGTACTTCCCTTTGAGAAATTGTTTAAAATTATTACACTGGAGGAATGTTTTAAAAAGGGCTTCATGTGGTCATTTTTTCCTAACTAAAAAGGAAGTGACATTCTACAGATTTCTGTTTTGAAAGCTGAACAGTCACAGAGGCACAGTGTTGCAAAGATCCTTATTAAGTCATGCTTTGAAAAAAATGATTTGTGGCTTTTCTGAAGGAAAATGTCTTCATTTAGCAGTCCCACACAAACTTCGGTGTGCAGAGCATAAAAGACCCTTCATTTCACTGTAAGTACAAAGGGTAATGCATTTTTAGTAATTTATGTGGAGCTGAACAGAAAATCTCTCCTATTACCTCTTTTCTCCCATCTCGTTCCCTTACTGTACGTACCCCTCCTCCTCCCCTACGTCCCTTCCATGCACACAGTGTGTCAAGAATTCTTCCTGGAAGAGAGACAAGAGAGCAGCTCAGGTCCAAGAGTGGAACTGATAGTCTTTCCCCATGGGTTTTAGTTGTCAGGAGGTGCCGCACTGAAATTGGGTAGTGGGATTCACAATACTACAGCTAAACATTCTGCAAACTTCATGTCAATGTAACAGTCATTCACCAAAATGGAAACAAATGAAGTTTTCTTGCTGCAATTTTTTTTCTACTTATCGGACTCTAATTTACTATGATAAAACACACTTTAGTCAGCATTCAATTATTTCAGTAAAGAAAGACTAGAAAAATAATTTTTCAAAACCTAGATTGAATAGAGCATATTTGAAAATAGCAAATGTCTAATTTTTCACTCTATTGTTAGGATGCCAAATCCTTTGTGAAGACTGAGATTGTTAGAGCCCAAATAAACAGAATAAAAGGTTGAAGTGACTTATATTGAAGTCTGCTGATAGAAAACACAAAGGTATGTTACATGAGGATTCTTCTGTCTAAATATAGTTTGAATAATGGGAAAGAAAGAGTTGAATGCATGTAAGGGTTTATTTGCAGGAAAGGAACCTGCTTTTCAAAATACATAGTAGACATTCTGTCAAGAAATTGTTTTAGAGCGGTCGTTACTGAGATAGATGAGTGCGAAAGTGAGAAAGTAATGGTTGTAGTGTGCTCCTGCTGTGCTGCACTTTTCCTGCAGTGCATCTTGTGGAATCCCTACTTACATCCGTCTGAGGAGTGGTGGAAGTGTACATAATTTTTACAAATAAGGAGAGAAAAAAATGTTTTTCTCAAGCTCCGAGTGTAAAACACTTGCAGTCCGGTCTATACAATCCTGTACCCTATCATCTGCATCCTGCTGATAAGAGAAGCAAAAGTTCCTAGTGTTTTTGCAAAAGTGAAAACTGGAAGAAAAAATGCAGAGAGAAAATTCTTGATTTTTTTCTTGTTAATACATTATTATTTCTCAGAAAACAAAATGGGTATTTGATGATCATGTGACTATGATCATCAAATTTTTTTTTCTCAGGCAGATCCTGCAAACACTTTGTCCAGTCACTCTCTGAGTCTTACAGCATCACATCTATTTACTTGCAACCTATTTACCATATGTTTCTAATTTACAATCACATTTATTTGCATCCATTAAACAACACAAATCTGAGCATTTTGTGTCAAACTTAATGAGAAGGCTTAAGATAAAGAAGAAATGGAAAATGTGACACTGCCTTCTAAGAACATGACACACAAATGTTTAATCAGGTCAAGCTGCCCAGTGTAAATACACTGAGGCTTCTACAAAAGAAGCAAAACACAAAGGTCAATCAGCACAGATTGCTTTCCAAGGATCCAGATTCATGATAGCCCAAAGCTGGCTGAAAACATTAATCCCTGGATTTTGAACAGAAAACTGCATACGCAGCTGAGGATTTTACTAACTTTACAGGACTTCTTTGGAGGCAGAGCATCATCCAATTAGATGTGGGCTAACATTTTTGTTTTCTTTTGTTTCTGTTTGAACTCACACTCCAAAATAAAGAGAAGTAGTGGCTTACCATAGTCTTCATACCCACCTTCTAGGCTTTATGAATGCTTATTCTTTTATTGAAATATATATACGTGTGTGTGTGTGTGTGTGTGTGTGTGTGTGTGTGTGTAGTGTATGTGTTGTTTACTATTAGGTAGCAAATGAATCCTGGGTTTTTTATGCTTTGATATTTAACATTATAGATCATAGAAGTCAAAAATATTAGATAACAAAATCTTGGAACACTTTTCCAAAGTAGCTTTCAAAGTACTAATCTTGCAAGATGTCCCCATCCCCAAAGGGTTCTGTGTCCAATGCCATTTTGTTAACACTGTGTTACACATCAGAGGGAACTCACGTTGAATACTAGTATAGGAAAGAAGTCCTTTTGGCTCTATCAAATCCAAAGTACTTTTTTTTTTTTTTTAACTCAGTAACATTCATTAACATCCTTTTATATGAGACATCCTAGAGGAGATTTTAGCTCAAAGGAAGGTCTATTCAATAGTGCTGATTCAGCAAGTCAAAGATCTGAGAAGGGCAAATATGCAGAGGCCAAATTCTGAGATCAATAACAGAAGAGCAGAAAATCTTTTAAATGTGTTATAGTGTTGCCAGGAGATATCAGGCATATAGTTATTTGGAATAAGTCATTTATTGTGGAGGACATTGCTAGGAAGAAATACTCTGAAGCTACAGAAATTCCTTCTTTATCTTCTCTAACTCCTTCTGTTCCTTCCTTTCCTCCCTCCCTCCTTCCTTTCCTCCCTCCCTCCTTCCTTTCCTCCTTTCCTCCCTCCCTTCCTTCCTTCCTTCCCCTTCCCTCGTTCCTCTTTCCTTAGAAGGATTCATATATGTTGGCAGTTATGAGCTAGTTACTTGTAAGTAACTTTTTTAGAGAAGGTATGAAAATAGTAAACCTTTAAACTTTTTAAGGATTTCTATGCCTGAAAAAAAGCCTATTTTCCTTCATAACTGAAAGATAATTACACTGAGGATAGAATTCTGCAATGAAAGTAAATTTTCATCAATACATTGCTACATTGTACTCTAACATTTAATGTCGGAAATTTTGTATGGGAATATTAAAACAATTTCTTTTCCTTCTTTTATGATAATAACTTCTTTTTCTCTATGGAAACCTTTTCATTAGTTCAAATTACTTAGATAAAACAAGGTTTTCATTAAGGTATTTTTATACATCATATAATATGTTTTGATCATATCCACTACCAATTACTCTCCCTTACTATTCTGTCCTCCCTCCCTTGATTCTTTCCTTTTCCCTAATAGTCTACATATACTTTCATACTTTTTTTTCTAGATTCCATATATGAAAAAAAAAATGATATTTGTCTTTTTGAGTCTGGTACGATCTGCTTAACCTGATGATCTCCAGTTCCATCCATTTTCCTGCAAGCGACAGGATTTCATTCTTCTTTATGACTGAATGATACCGTATTATGTATATGTATCACAATTTCTTTATTCATTCATCAGTTGGCATAACTTGGCTATTGTGAACAGTGCTGTGATAAGCATGGGTGTGCTCCCATCTCTATTGTGTGCTGGCATGATTACTTCTGTTATACACCCAAAAGTGGTACAGCAGGATTATATGGAATTTCTATTTTTAGCTTTTGAGGAACTTTCATGTGGATTTCCATAGTGGCTGCCCTAGTTTACATTCCTACCAACTGTATATAAGGGTTCCTTTTCCCCTACATCCTTACCAGTATTTGTTGATTTTTGTTTTCTTGAAGATAGATATATTCTGACTAACATAAGATGGAATCCCAATGTAATTTTGGTTTGCATTTCTCTGATGACTAAAGATGTAAACATTTTTTCATATAATCATTGGCCACCTGTGTTTTGAGAACTGTTCATTTATTGGTTGGATTACTTGTTCTTTTGGTGTTAGTTGAGTTCTTTATATATTCTGAATATTAATCCTCTATCAGATGAATAGCTGGTGAGGACTTTCTCCCATTCCGTGTGATGTCTTTTCATTCTGTTATTTCCTGTGCTGTGCAGAAGCTTTTGAAATTGATGCAACTCCATTGTCAATTCTTACTCTTATTTTCTGAGCTACTGGAATCCTATTCATGAAATTGTTCAGATCTAAAAATGTTTTCCCTATGTTCTCCTCTAGTAGTTTCAATATTTATGGTCTTAAACTAAGGTCTTTAATCTACTTCGAGCTGATTTTTATACAGGATGAGAGATAGTTCTCTAGTTTCAATCTTGTAAATGTGGATTTTCAGTTTTCTCAGCACTAGTTGTTAAAAAGGCTGCCTTTTCCCCCCCTGCCCAATGTATGTTTTTAGCAACTTTGTTGACCAACAAATGACTGTAGCTGCATGGATTTACTTCTGAATGTCCTATTCGATTACATTGGTGTACTTGTCTGTTTTTGTACCAGTATCATGCTGTTTTGTTACTGTGGCTCTGAGATATAAATTGAAGCCTGGTGTTGTGACATTCCAGCATTGCTCTTTTTGCTCAGAATTGCTTTGGCTATTCAAACTAGTTTGTATTTTCATGTAAATTTTAGGATTTTTTTCTAGTTCTGTGAAGATAGTCATTGGTACCTTGTTGAGAATTTAATCTGTAGATCACTTTTGGTAAAAGGTGCATTTTAACAATATTAATTCTGCCAATTTAGGAACCTGGGAGGTCTTTACATCTTCTAGTAGCTTCTTCAGTTTCTTTCTTCAGTGTTTTATAATCGCCATTGTACAGGTGTTTCATCTCCTTGGTTACGTTTATTCACAGGTGTTTTAGGTCATTGTGAATGAGAATGTGTTCCTGATTTCTTTCTTAATGATTTTGGTACTGCTGAAGAGTAAAGCTACTGCTTTTGTGTGTAGGTTTCGTTTTTCACTTCTTTGCCAAATTTGTTTTTCATATCTAAGTGTCTTCTGGTGGACACATTAGGGTCTTTTATTTGTAGGATTAAATCATCTTCAAATAGGAATAATTTCCAATCTTTTTTTCTTTTTTTTTTTTTTTCAAAATTTAAGTGTGCATTTTATTTATTTATTTTATAGTATTGGGGTTTGAACTTGGGGCCTTGTGCTTGCCAGGCAGAATCCCTAGCCCAAGTTTGCATATTCTTTGATTCAATAATTCTACTTTGTCCAATCTTTTTTTCTTACATGTATCCCCTTTTATTCCTTTCTCTTTCCTTATAGCTCTGGCTAAAAGTTCAGGCACTATATTGAATAAGACTGGAAAAAGTGGTCTCCCTTGTCTTATTCATGATCAGAGAGAATGTTTTAGGTTTTTACCAATGTAGTATAGGTTTATAGTAGAGCCATTATTATTTTGCAGTAGAATTTTTGTTAGGATTTTGGTCTCTATGCTCAACAAGGAAATCTGGGTTCCCTCACATTATTACATCTTTTTAAATCTGTAGCTTATTTTACATTGATCAATGATGCATGAGTTTTATTTTATTCACTACCTTGATTTTTTAAAATAACCACAAAGACAATAAAAATGTAGATACTCAACATCATCAATAATCTTATAAATAGAAATTAATGTAGAATATTTTATTATTGCACAGCTATTAAATTGACAAAACTTATGCAATGCCAAGTGATGACAAGAACGAGGAGCACAGGGAACCCCAGATTCTGCTGAGGGCCTGTTGACCAAGTGGCCTCTGGAGAGCTATGTGGCATTCAGTGTGAAAAGTTAGCACAGGAACCCACAAGCCGGCCAGTGTACTCCCAAAAATATATTTAGAGGTAGGTATTGATAGACACCTACAGGATAGGGAGGGAGGGAGAGAGCAAACTCACAGCAGACCTTTGAAGATTTTCATTGCCTTGATATTCATGGAGGAGGTGTGATTAGGAACATACATATATAAAATGCAGTGGACCCACATTCACAGGAGACATGGAGACAAAAAAATCCCCACATTAAACAGAACAGAATGACTGCCATGGCTGTTGGTAAAATGGTTTGGGAGAAAGCAGAGGAGAATACATTAACACAAACAAAAATATACCTTCCACTTGTGTTAATACTGCCCTGTCAATTCTCCAGACCCCTCCAGCCCCATCTCATTTCTCTGTCTCAGAGCTATTTGTTAGGGACTTCTTCAATTATCAGTAACAGTATCATTTTCCTTCTTTTTCATTTGGGCTTATATTCCTATTTTTTTCCCTATCTTCTTGAAACCTCAGCTAACATTTTTTTCTCTTAAATGAGTATGCATTAATTGTGCAAAGGGTTTTAGTGTGATATTTCCATACATGTACATAGTTAACTTTGATCAAATTCACCCCCTATTGTTCTTTGTTACTCTACATTCTATATTACTGCTTCAATCTCATTTTTTGTTACAGATCTGTTTAAATGACTTATATCCTCTTGGGTCAATTTTGGTAGGTCAAATGTATCAAGAAATTATTACATACCTTCTAGATTTCCCACTATTAGAATATACAATTTCAAAGTATTCCCCTGAAGATCTTCTGAATTTCATTGGTGTTTGTTGTGATATAACCTTTTTCATCTGCAGTTTTATTACTTTGGTCTTCTGCCTCTTTCAGTTAGTTTAACTAAGGTCTTGTGAATCTTGTTTATCTTTTTAATCATTGCTTCTTTATATTGTTCTTTTAGTCTGTGTTTCATCAATTGATGCCCTGATCTTTATTTTGTCTTTCTGTCTACCGCTTTTGGGTTTGGCTTGTTCTTACTTCTCTGAGAACTTTAGGTTCATCTTTAAAGTTACTTATTTGGGATCGCCTTGATTTTTTTTAGTGGAAGCTATAAACTTTCCTCTTAGCACAGTCTTTGATGTGTTTGAGATGTTCTAGCAAGTTGTTTTTATTTTGGTTTGATTTTAGAAAGTTTTAGATTTTCCTTCTTTTCTTTGATGACCCACTAATCATTCAGCAGTGAATTGTAGTCACCATGTACTTGTGTATTTTCCGTAGTTTCTTTTGTTATTTATTTCTAGTTTTATTTTATTGTGGTCTGATAAAATACAGAAAATTATTTCAGTTTTCTTGTATTTATCAAAACTTGCTTTATGTCCTCAGATATCATCTTTCTTCAAGAAAGTTCCACGGGCTGTTGCTGCTGTGGAGTAGTCTGCAGATGTCTGTTAAGTATACTTGATCAAGACTGTCATTTAATTCTGGATTTTCCTTTACTGATTTTTGTCTAGATGATCTGTCTATTGATAAGAGTGGGTGGGAAAGTCACCTGCTGCTAATATAATTTTAATATCTGATTCCTCATACATATTTTCAGAGCTCTCTTCTTATCTTGCTCTCTCTCCCATTGATTACATTAAGGCCATCTGGTTTTTTATTCTACATAATAATAAAATATTTAACATCTTATGCTTTGAACACAGGAAAATTGTAAGCTTTGTTATTTATGCAAAAGAATGTTTAAATAGCAGAAAATATACAAATTTTGAGGAAATTAAGTTGGATTATCAAGAAAAGAAATTCTAGAATGCACTGGTAAAGAATACAGAGTAGAACAAAATGAGATAAAATTTAATAGATGAGAAGCTAGAAGTTCTATCCTCTCACAGGATCTGAAGAAAAGAAGGTATGTGTGTCCCAAGCCCTGGCGTGACTGGTTGGAGGGTGAAATAGCAGTCAGTTGGGGGAGTTCTCAGTAGTAATGTTGAAACTGTGTTTGGACATAATTAATGACCTAGTGTGGTTGTCAGTCTCCAAGATGACATCCTTCCTCTTACTATTTAGTGGCTTGGATAATCCCTTCCACATTTTACCATGTGAGATGACCATCTTCCCAGGTGTGCTTGACACTTGCACAGTTTTAAAACTGAAAACCTAAAAGTCACATTTTAAAACCTGAGAACTCACCCTACCCAGGCAAACAAATACAGTTAGTTGCCTTAGCACCATTGTTGGTGAATGACCAGTAGAATGCAGTGGAAGTGATGTCACATGACTTCTGAGAGTAGGATGAAAACACTATGTAGCTTCCACCTGGTCACTCCCTCATGGCTTGCTCCTTCAGATCACAGCTCACTGTGTGCGACTTCAGTTGCCATTGAAAGCAGCCTTACAGAGAGACATGTGCGAAGAAACATTGACACCTCTGGGTAACAGCCATTTGAGTAAGCTTGGAAATGGATCCTCCCTCAAAACTGACTTAGGTAGCTGTGGCCCCGTATAACAGCTGCAGGGCAATCTTATGCAGATTCTAAACCAAAACTGCCTAGCTGCTCTGCTATGAGGAGCCAGACCCACAGAAACCCTGATATTAAAAAAAGAGTTTGATGCTTAAAGTTATGAATTTTGAGATAATTTATTACAAAGCAGTGATATACCCAAGAAATCAATTCTTAGGTGTATGCTGTAGAGTCATTCTTGAACACGAGCTTACGCATGTTCACTGAAGCACTATATTACTAAGGCATGAAGGAGACATACATTTTCCTTTGTACAGAATGCAAAATGTAAAATATAACAAGTGCAAATAATACAATGCCATGACTCTAGAAGAAATGTGCTAGATTGGACAGACAGACCTTCAAAGGACAGTAAATGATACAAAAATGTGAACTAAATCATAAGTCACAATATTATAATAGTAAGAAATATAACAGAAAATGAACATTTATTTAAATTTGTGAAAATCAGTTTATTGTTCATTATATAAATAACCACATACATGAATAAAATGTGATTACAGGAGAGAAGAAAGAAAACTATACCAACTTAATACTAATGAAATACGAGCTGTGCAAAGACCTCCAATAAGATGAAGAGTATGTAAACTCTATTCCCTATAATTGAAGCCTCCAAACAGTCCAACATGGGAAAAGTGGAAATCAATATTCCAACTTTGTTTATAAGCATGAATGTCAATATTCTAAGCAAAAGATGGGAAAATATAATTATTCGACTTAGGTATGAGAATAAGAATACGCCATATTAAAAAATTACTCACTCCAAGAATGAATGCCTTCTAGCATTAGGAAATATATTACTTTAGTTCATTATATTAGTATATTCAAGGAAAATATTTCCTAATCAATTTAGGGGTACTTTACAATAATAAACACTTTAATATCTATCATTCAATCAATTGTTCTATCTAATAAACTTTCATATATATGAAACTTCATCTGATATAGAGTATTTTCAAGAAATCTTCAGGAATGAGTATGTTAATTTTGATAAAGAAGTATTTGAATATTAGGGTATGTACAATTATATTTGATTTCTAATCAAATATGTCTTAGAACAATTCCAAGCAAAAACAGCGATGTGACGAGGACATTTGGTATCACTGATAATCTTCAATAATAGCTAAGGTAAAAATAATAATGCATTTGAAGGTTTGAAAGGAAGAGATAAAACTGGCATTATTTTCATATAATAATTTATCTAAAAATCCAAGAGAGTAAAAAGTAGAAAGCTTTCAGTACTAGTAAGATAGGTAAACATAAATGTAGCTTTTCCCAATATCAACAACAGCTAGTTTGAAAGTGTATTGGCGAAAATGAGGATCTCAGTATAAGGAAAATGAATAACAGTAACAATAAGATCATAGCTACAAGCAATAAAACTAATAAGAAATGTGAAAAGCTACATGAATCCAGTTTATGACACTTTACTGAAGGACACAGCAAATTCAAGAAAAACTTAGCATAGGTTTTGGGTTTTTTTTGGTCAGTAAGACCTAACATAATACTTCTGTCCAAATTAATGTGTGTAGTTCATGAATTTCCTCATAACTTAGAATGCATAATGTTTCATTATTGAATTTTATAGGCTACATTAAAATAAAAGAGAAAATTCCTAAGGAAGAAAAATGCATAAACACAATCAAGAAATTTTTACAGAAATAATAAAGTGAGGGATTTCCCCTGTGAGACACCAAGTGTACTGTCAACTACAGTAATACAAACAATTCAGGTCAAGTGAAGAAATAAGAAAATAAACCAAAGGTACATAATTGAGAATATAAAAAATAATCCACATTTTAATTCATAATAAAAGCAATTTCAAATTGTTTTGGAAAATTAGCTATCCATTTTAAAAAATACAGTTTCCAGAGCTTACATCATTCACTAAAATGAATTTTAGATCATTTAAACAGATAAACATAAAATAATCCAAAGCTATAAAAAGTATTTTTGAAAAACATTTGTAATTTTTTATAACTAATGTAAGTTTTATGTGGTAAAAGCCTTCTTATAAGAGATACAGAAGCTATAAAGGAAAATGAACTGATTTACAAAGCAATGTAATATATCTACAATATACTGAACACGTAAAGGACCAAGATCCAGAATCTATAAAGACTCTAATAAGCAATGAAGAAAAGCAATCTCAATTTCCACTGAAATTTCTACCAGACAAAGGACATGGACAAACAGCTCACAGAAGGAAAAAGTATATGACCATACTTACATTGGAAATAAGAGAAATACAATTTAAGTCTTTTAAATAAAATGATTTATCTTATCAAATGTTGCCAAAGATATGTAGAAATGTTAGGTGGGCTATAAACTGATGGAACGCCTTGAAGGGCAACTTTAAAGAATTTATAAAATGATAATGACCTTCCATTATTTTCAACAATTACATTTGCAGGAATATATCCCAGAGAAACATGCCCACATGTGTACAAAAATGTGTATATAAAAGTGTTTGTGCAACTGCTTATTAGAGAGAAGTTATAAACACCCTAAGTATCCACCTAAATCAAGAGGATTTAATGAAGTGTTTTTTATTCAATGAAAAGGATGTGATTCTTACAAAAGAATGAGGTAAGTCCCATATATACTGATGTGGAAGAAAGTCATCCAAGTTCTATTATGAAGTAAAAGAGCATGTCATGAGTTAGTATGTTCTTATTTAAAAGTAAATTTAATGTCACTATTTACATATAGATTATGTAAATCCACAGAAAGTTAACTAGGTATTTTTCATCTCAAACTTTACCCTAATTGCTGGAAATTGTTGGCATTGCTGAAGAGTGTGGGAAAAGGGCTGTTTAATACGGTGATGAGGTGTGGATTAAAGTAAAAAAATGATGAAGTACAAAAAACAAGACATATTTTTTCTTCTTTTAATGAGATTATAATATAGGATGTATGGTGAAACAGCTTATCAAAATGTATTTATGCAAGTACCTATCTACCTCTAGAACTAGACTCAAACGTTTAAGGTTACTCTGAGGATAGAATTGACAACATACAAAGAGCCTATAAAGTGCCTGGTGCATGGTGGCCCTGTATTTGCAAATACAGTATGTATTGTTTTTAATTTTATTGCAAAAAAATAAAACACTACACTAAATGCTGAGTGGGAATGGGCATTTTTCTTGTGGCCATCAGTGCAGTTCCACAGCACTTATGTCTGACATCTTCCTTTTTCCTTTGCTTACATCTATACAATCCATTTCTCCCCATCACAGTGAAACTCAATTTCTGGAAGTTGTTCTATCACACAGTTTCCTTGCTGATTGGAACAGTATAAACAAAAAAATATTTTCTGCCTGTGTATTATCTTAGGTACAGATTAAGGAATCTTTCACCATAGTAACTGGGTGGTATTTCCTATATACTTGCCATGTGAACATTTCAACATGGAGGCTTGAGTTCTTCTTTTCACCAATATGGTGACTTGCTAAAAAACTGTCAGCTAAACTCAACACTTATCAAAAGCAAGTTTGTCTTGTGGAAACAACAAATAAATGAATGTTTTGAACAGAGGTAGACTTATTCTTTCTGTGAAATGTCTACCCAAATGGAAATGAGTAAAGTGAAATTGTATTGGTCCCCAGGATCCCTGAGCACCATCTGTGCTTCACAAATGCAGGAAGACATCATCCAGGAAAAGATGTTTGCCTTTGACTTTCCCATATAAATGATCAGGAGTGACCAGAGGAAGTATGAAAATAGCACTTGGAAGTGCTTGTTTAAATTCATGCCAGAAGATTTGACTTTTATTGTCTCTTGAAAGGAATTCTGTTGCCCAAGAAGGCTTTCTGTGGGGAAAAACCTACAGCCAGCATTATACTTAACGGAGAAAAACTGAAACCATTCCCTCTAAAATCAGGAACTAGACAAGGATGCCCACTATCTCCACTCCTATTCAACATAGCACTGGAATTCCTAGCCAGAGCAATTAGGCAAGAAGAAGGAATAAAAGATATACAAATAGGTAAAGAAACTGTCAAAATATTCCTATTTGCAGACGACATGATCCTATACCTTAAAGACCAAGCAAATGTGTGTTAAGTAAAAAGCTCGTGTGGTTAAATTTACCGTTGGATGAAAAGGTATGTCAATCACCACTAGGTTGAATTGTGGAGCATCATTGTTGATACCTGTAACTGCAAAGACAAAGACACTGAAGATGTGCACTCAAGCCTTGTGTCCCCCCACCTTTTTTGGCATCTTCATCCCTTAATAATTGGAAAAAACCTTTTGTATACTGAGGTATTAATTTTTATTACTCAGTTTGTAGATACTTTTATCGAGTATGTTTTGTTTTAAAATTTACACATGGCATATTACTTACTTTCCATACAGAATATTTTAATTTTATGT